GTAGCCTGGTATATGTTCCAGTGTGTTATCAATGTTGGTTATATTTGGTTGCATCGTCCTGTTCAATGTCTATGTTGAGTATTTGATGTCACAGCCTTAACAAGAATGACTGCATTGAACCTAGGGAAGTCACACCTTAGGTGGACAGACATTTATGTGGAAGTGACTTTAATCCTCGTGTTATGTCTTTGACCCGGTGATCCTGTCCTGCTTAAAGACACGATTAACAGCTGCAGGGACATAGGTTGTGTAACAAACTGTACATACGCAAGTAGGCTTAGGGCAGTTTTGACCTTATACAGACTTACTGAAAGGCATCAGCAGCCTGATAGAAAATAAAGTATTCTGTTTCGTGATGTTTTCAATAAAGTAGTCACATGCAATCGACTTGGAAAGATATAAGAATAAGTTGTCTAGTGGCTAGATACTGGCCAGATAGTATTGAAAAAAAGTGTTCGCCTAAATAGTCAATAGAGCCATTTGATCACATTAGATATACTTCCTTGTGCAGCCTGTTAATCTAGGCAATGCTTGATGTGAATAGTGTTACACACAAACCAACTACAACACAGCTGTGTGTGTGTGTGTGTGTGTGTGTGTGTGTGTGTGTGTGTGTGTGTGTGTGTGTGTGTGTGTGTGTGTGTGTGTGTGTGTGTGTGTGTTAACTAATTTCTCAAAACACATAATGTGTCCCTATATGCCACACGAAACCATGGGTGAGTTGATCTCACTGTATCTACTAGTCCCCCAGACCAAACATGAGATATGCCTCCACTCCAGTCCCTCTACTTGCTTTGTAACTGTGTGACGTGGGTATTCTATAGTCTATTATGTATGTTGGTGTAAACTTGTCTTGTGAGATCCAGGTCTTTGTTGTGTAAGTACTTACTGTATACACTGTCCATCACAATTAAGTATATGCATAGATGCAGGGTGTATCACATTGTATCATAATAAGTACTTACTAATTGCAGGGTGTATCACGTTGTATAATAATAAGTACTTACTAATTGCAGGGTGTATCACATTGTATCATAATAAGTACTTACTAATTGCAGGGTGTATCACGTTGTATAATAATAAGTACTTACTAATTGCAGGGTGTATCACATTGTATCATAATAAGTACTTACTAATTGCAGGGTGTATCACGTTGTATAATAATAAGTACTTACTAATTGCAGGGTGTATCACATTGTATCATAATAAGTACTTACTAATTGCAGGGTGTATCACGTTGTATAATAATAAGTACTTACTAATTGCAGGGTGTATCACATTGTATCATAATAAGTACTTACTAATTGCAGGGTTTATCACATTGTATTATAATAAGTACTTACTAATTGCAGGGTGTATCACATTGTATTATAATAAGTACTTACTAGTTGCAGGGTGTATCACATTGTATTATAATAAGTACTTACTAATTGCAGGGTGTATCACATTGTATCATAATAAGTACTTACTAATTGCAGGGTGTATCACATTGTATTATAATAAGTACTTACTAATTGCAGGGTGTATCACATTGTATTATTATAAGTACTTACTAATTGCAGGGTGTATCACATTGTATCATAATAAGTACTTACTAATTGCAGGGTGTATCACATTGTATAATAATAAGTACTTACTAATTGCAGGGTGTATCACATTGTATTATAATAAGTACTTACTAATTGCAGGGTGTATCACATTGTATTATAATAAGTACTTACTAATTGCAGGGTGTATCACATTGTATTATAATAAGTACTTACTAATTGCAGGGTGTATCACATTGTATTATAATAAGTACTTACTAATTGCAGGGTGTATCACGTTGTATAATAATAAGTACTTACTAATTGCAGGGTGTATCACGTTGTAAAATAATAAGAACTTACTAATTGCAGGGTGTATCACATTGTATCATAATAAGTACTTACTAATTGCAGGGTGTATCACATTGTATCATAATAAGTACTTACTAATTGCAGGGTGTATCACATTGTATCATAATAAGTACTTACTAATTGCAGGGTGTATCACATTGTATCATAATAAGTACTTACTAATTGCAGGGTGTATCACATTGTATTATAATAAGTACTTACTAATTGCAGGGTGTATCACATTGTATTATTATAAGTACTTACTAATTGCAGGGTGTATCACATTGTATCATAATAAGTACTTACTAATTGCAGGGTGTATCACATTGTATCATAATAAGTACTTACTAATTGCAGGGTGTATCACATTGTATTATAATAAGTACTTACTAGTTGCAGGGTGTATCACATTGTATTATAATAAGTACTTACTAATTGCAGGGTGTATCACATTGTATTATAATAAGTACTTACTAATTGCAGGGTGTATCACATTGTATCATAATAAGTACTTACTAATTGCAGGGTGTATCACATTGTATTATAATAAGTACTTACTAATTGCAGGGTGTATCACATTGTATCATAATAAGTACTTACTAATTGCAGGGTGTATCACATTGTATTATAATAAGTACTTACTAATTGCAGGGTGTATCACAAATAACATTATTAACTCCTTACTTTATGCAAGCTGCATCACAGTTAAGTATATATCACAATTTAGTATTGTCACTATGCAGTGTGAATCACAATTAAGTATGTACAATATGCAGGGTGTATCACAATTAAGTATTTACAAATTGCAGGGTGTATCACAATTAAGTATTGACAATATGCAGGGTGTATCACAATTAAGTATTTACAATATGCAGGGTGTATCACAATTAAGTATTGACAATATACAGGGTGTATCACAATTAAGTATTTACAAATTGCAGGGTGTATCACAATTAAGTATTTACAAATTGCAGGGTGTATCACAATTAAGTATTGACAATATGCAGGGTGTATCACAATTAAGGAATTTACTATATGCTGGGTGCAGTGCCAATTTCTAATGTTGCGTCTACATGCTCTACATTCTACTAGCCCTTGAAACCTTTACAAGCCATGGGCTAGTGTTTATTTCATTGCAACATAAACTGATGTAAGCATGCATCCTAAGGCCAGGCAGAGAGTTCACGGTTCACTCTTGAGTCAGCTCCGCTCAATGTTGTGACATGATGTAACGGTGACTTCTTACTCGAGTCTGTGCTGCATTGCCAGATATCAGACACACTCATGTAGCAGGTAGTGGAGGGATTATTTGAAGGTACCAAAAATTGTTAGATTTTCATTAAAATTTTTTAAAGTGTGTGTTGGAGGCATTATCATGATTACAGTTGTGTATTCACATTTTCTTAAAATGACAGTTTCACAACCTGCCAAGGGTGTTGTTGTAACCTGGGCCAGTTGCACAAGCAATCTTTGTGCTGTGATTTTCATAAGTCTATGTTGCCTGTTCTCTAGTCTCAGTTCTGTGTTCTTTGATCTCTGTTCCATGTTCTTTGATCCCTGTTCTCTGATCTCTGTTCCATGTCCTCTGGTCTCAGTCCCAACATTGATACCTTCACACTATGTAAGTCAGATTATGGGTTTTTCAGATATATTATTGTCGGGATGATTATCAAGGTGAATTTCAACTACATGTACTGCAAACATATTGTAATAATCATCATGATCATGATAATATTGCAATACTTACCCTACTATTGACTACTGTAAGGCAATGAATGAAATCATGAGCATTGATCCACTTCATTATGGGACCTGTGAAGATCCGGGGTAGAATAGGTCTTCAGCAACCCATGCTTGCTGTAAAGGGCGACTATGCTTGTCGTAAAAGTTGACTAACGGGATCAGGTGGTCAGGCTCGCTGACTTGGTTGATGCATGTCATCGATTTCAATTGCGTGTATCAATGCTCATGATATTAATCACTGGATTGTCTGGTCCAGACTCGATTATTTGCAGACAGCCGTCATATAGCTGGAATATTGCTGAGTGCGGCGTTTAACAACCAACCAAACCCACTTCATCATGGCACAATGATATGCAGTCAGCGAAATCACAAAGCCTGATCACCTTAGTTTAGCCGACTCTTACAACAAGCATAGTTTACTGCATGTACCGGGGACCAAATCTAACTCAGAGTGCCTACAGATGGCTGACATGGATGTATGTTGTAAACATTATTCTGACTTAGCATCTCCAGGGTGTAGTGTATAGAGCATCTGCCCGCAAAGTAGAAGGTTGCATCTTCCCAAGGCAAAGGAGTTAACTGACTATGAAAGTCCAGTTTCCACCCTTGCTGAACTAGGCTGGCATTAATGGAGTTATATATTGGCTGGACTAACTGAGTCTATGCATAGTCCAATCAAAATCACGTAATGAATTTGACAGCCGGTTCGTAAACCACCATACAGAATTCACTCACTTGATGCCACAAATATTTTCCAAATCATTCATGTTGTTAATCAGGTTGCACACGTGATTTGATGCATTTTGATTATCAATCAGATCATTTTGACAGGGCACTGCCAATTTATTTGCAGCAAATGTAAATGATATGAGAGGTGCAATCTGATTGGTCAATAGGAGAGACATAACCCGTAACAGACACTTGGAAGGTTAGGGGTTCGATCCCCGGCCGCATCATACAAAAGGACATAAAAGGTACATATTGTTACCCTGCCTGGTGCTTGGCATTACAGGGATAAAACAAGGACTGGTCGGCTCTGAGTCATTGTGTGTGAGGGTGGCAATAAGTGTTCACATTAAACTGAGGCATAGCATCTCAGTGGGCTAGCTCTGTAAAACTGGACTAGTACAAGCAGCACTATATGAGTGGAATAATCTTGGAAGTCGACATTAAACCCTCACCTCTGATTGAACATGTTAAAAAACAAATGGTAAAATGTGTAGAACATGATTGAAATTGACCTTTGTCAAATGTCAGGAACACTCACTGGCAAATTCTGGTATTTTCAATTATTCAAGTACGGTAATTAAGATCACTTTTTCTTTCAAAATTGTGTCAAAAATGGATTTCTCAGCATTATGTTTCTGTTTCATGTTTCAGTGTACAGTATGAGAGCGCTGCAGTGAAGCCATGTGAGTATCCACGCCATTGAATATATTGAATATCAGGATGCAGGAGATGAAACATGAAAACAAGCCAGTCCAAACCCTAAAGTTTTCATCATGGCAGGCCCAAATAATGTAGTGGATGTACAGGTTGCAGGGATTATCCTGGAAATCTTTACCTATGAGAGAAAATCTCCCCTGGTCCAAAAGCAATGAGATTTTTTGGCGTGTGATGAGATTTTGCTAATTTTCAGAGATATTTCATATTCACACAGTGTGGAAACTGTATTTGATTTTTGGTACTTGTGACTCAAATAATATTGCAAGTAATATTACTAGATTATATAGATATATCCTATTTTCGAACATTAATTATTCCACTGCGAAAACATGTATTTAAAAATATTATCATTCGTATTAACACAAAATTACATTCAACTTACATTTCTGTTCTACTTAAGAATAAATTACACTAATATTTATTTATTTCTGTTCATTGTTGACTTGATAGGGAATTATTCGCGAGGACAATTATAGATCGTTTAGGAGGCATGTTTACTACCATCAGCTGTTGGCATGCAGGAGACAACAATCTGCAGTTATCAAATTTGGACAATGTGTGTTTAGATCGTAATTCAATATATTTAGAGTGATGACATGAAATAGCGACGACATGAAATAGCGACTGTTGAATGGTATAACAGTTTGTTGGCAAAAAATATATTATTTACATTGCAGTGCTTTCATCAATTTCGCCGTCTTATTTCCGTCTGAAGTGTGTACCATATCAGAGGCCGGGTCTCTGAGCGTATCAGATGAAATCTTATCAATATGCACTTTTCAATTAATTAATCAATTAATCAGTTCATTATACAACGACTATTGCTCCAGCAATGTCCAGGTTCACCCTCTTGTTTAATTAGCAACAATTAAGTCATTTATTTCACACAGAAGGCGGCGTGTTTGCCATGTGCAGCAGCCAGAAAATGTTTACGAGTAACCGGAAGTTGAAAAGACAGTTGACATTCACAATGTTTAAGAGTTACATTTGAATGATTAAGTCACAGTTTTCAATTTGTATGGACAAATTTGGAAGCAAACGTATCGTATCGTGTTGGGCTACTAGAAAAAGTTCAAAATTTGTAATTCACGCACGGTGGCCATTCTTGCACGAGGGTACGTTCATGAAAGCTCTTCCACTGGTGCCGTCACTGGCTAGGCAGATCTCATCTAAAATACAATCGTTTCTCATCTGCAATTTGTAGATTATTATGGAGAAAGAGTTGTATTTATATTCATTTAGTTTTTGTTTTGCTGTCATTCCAAAATTGAAAGTTGCTCGTGTTTTGAAACTTTACCCGTGATTGCCTTTTTTTCTCTTGATTTCTGCACGGACGCACATACATGTAGTTCAACGTCTTTGATTTCTGCTAGGATTTAAGTCCTAAAAAAATATGTTTAATGACTTGGATTTGTAGATCACGGAATAACATTTTTGTGCGCTACCAAAGTGTTTAGTTTGTAAAAACAAACACTTGTTTGCCAATCGGGGGTAAAAAAATGTTGCGCACTCCGCCATTGTCAGCTGATGCAAAGCTTCATGCAGTGATATAGGAATCGGTAATGCACAGTATTAAGAGATACAAATGTAGCATGCAATGTTGCGAGTATGCCAATCGCTGTTTCGATTGACAACATTTGACGATTGAATAAACAAGTGTGTAAGTTTTGTATTGACATTTTTAGGTACCGTAGATAAATTTATTCGACCAATACGACATTTTAGATTTTTGTTGGTGAAAATGAGAGTGTTACTGCAGATAAAGCTATTGAAAGCTCTTCGCAATTTTCAATCGCGCTGATTGAATGTTGATGCGATATCTACGACAACAATGCGAGAATATCGCGGAATCGCGGGCTAAGTCAATCCCTGAGGTTGGCTTGTCAGTGTTGGCTCGTTGGAATGTCATTGTTGGCTTGTCAGTGTTGGCATGTTGGCTTGTCAGAGTTGGCATGTTGGCTTGTCAGTGTTGGCTTGTTGGCTTGTCAGTGTTGGCTTGACTCAGTGATGGCTTGTCAGTGTTGGCTTGACAGTGTTGGCTTGTAAGTGTTGGCTTGTTGGCTTGTCAGTGTTGGCTTATTGGCTTGTCAGTGATGGCTTATTGGCTTGTCAGTGTTGGCTTATTGGCTTGTCAGTGTTGGCTTGACTCAGTGATGGCTTGTCAGTGTTGGCTTGACAGTGTTGGCTTCTCAGTGTTGGCTTGTTGGCTTGTAAGTGTTGGCTTGTTGCCTTGTCAGTGTTGGCTTATTGGCTTGTCAGTGTTGGCTTGACAGTGTTGGCTTCTCAGTATTAGCCTGACAATGTTGGTTTGTTGGCTTGTCAGTGTTTGCTTGACTCGGTGATGGTTTGACAGTGTTTGCTTGACAGTATTGGCTTGTTGGCTTGTCTAGTTGGCTTGTCAGTGTTGGCTTGACAGTATTGGCTTGATGGCTTGACAGTATTGGCTTGACAGTATTGGCTTGTCAGTGTTGGCTTGACAGTGTTGGCTTCTCAGTGTTGGCCTGACAATATTAGTTTGTTGGCTTGTCAGTGTTTGCTTGACTCAGTGATGGCTTGACAGAGTTGGCTTGTCTAGTTGTCTTGTCAGTGTTGGCTTGACAGTATTGGCTTGACAGTGTTATTTATACTTTCCCACAAAACTCACAAGGAAGTTTCAGTCCTACAATCTCACTACTTGGCAGGGTAACATACCAGAGAGTCAGTGAAACAGGTTTGACCCACTGAGCATGGTGAGTGTGTAATTGGTGACGCGTGGGGGAACTTGTTCAAGGGTCAGGAAGCTCATGTTTGTGCAAGTACATCATACACAGTTCCTGTACCTTGTGTTTAGGATGGGCACTGGTTTTACGATGGGTTTCAGTGTTTTACGTGTTTTACTCAGGTTAAGCATGAACGTCAAGGGGTCACAGCCCTCATGTTTAGTTGGCCATTAGGGGTTCCCAGAATCCAATATTACACAAGCCTCAAGGACCCTAGGATCCCCTTAGGTTCCGAACAGTTGTTTTGTAATGAATGTTGGGCTGATATTTTATAAGTTATTTTTGTGTGTTACCATTTTGTCCAAAATTGGTGTGAAGATGCGGGTTTCAATTCCCACATGGGTACAGTGTGTGAAGCCCATTTCTGGTGTCACCCGCCATGATATTGATGGAATATTGCTACAGGCGATGTAAAACCAAACTCACTCATTCACTCAAGTTGTGTTTTTCATCAACTTGTTTGTTAAAAAATATTTGTACTATTTAAATTTATGAATACATGTAAATGCTGTATTAATGTAGAGATTTCTCAAAGATATGAGGGGTGGCTGAAACGTTTTAAGCCTAACTTTCATCGACTGTGACGGAGTTGGCTGTCATAAATATTTTTCAACATAAAAATGATGCTGGAGTGCTCGGATCCTGCTAGTGGTGGTCAGGCTCACTGAAATGGTTGATGCATGTCATTGATCCCAATTGCGAGGATCAATGCTCATGATATTAATCACTGGATTGTCTGGTCCAGACTCGATTATTTACAGACTGCCGTCATACAGCTTGAATATTGCTGAGTGCGGCGTTAAACAACAAACCAACCAACCAAACTCGTTTAAAAAGACCTCTTCAGCAGTCCTCTTTGCCTGATTGTGGTGAATCCAAGACGCATCCAATGGTACAAATTGCTCAACAAAATCAGCTGAGTCTGCAAGAAAACATCATTCTCATGAGAGGTGATAAAGCTGGAGCATTTCTAATCAGAAGCCTTGGAGCCCAACGTGCTGAAACCGTTGTCATGCCCAGTTCATTCCCCTGAATGTTCTCAACTCTCTCATGAGGGATCTCTTCTGTACTGGGTGTGTGATGTGTGATCGTCCTCAGTTGTATCATGTATTTTATTGACAATTTCCTTAATGACAGCAGTTGAAAGTTTTCCTGATCTTGGATCATCTTCAGACTCTTGAACTCCACTGCCCACCTGTTAAGAGCAGCAAGGGAAGGCGCATCATCCCCTAAAGTTGACACCATGTCCGCATGGATGGCTGTTGCTGGGACCAGGGTTAGAATAGATCCCCAGTACCCCGTTGTTGGAACTGAGGTGAGAATAGGTCCTCAGCACCCTGTTGCAGGGACCAGGGTTAGAATAGGTCCCCAGTACCCTGTTGTTGGAACTGAGGTTAGAATAGGTCCCCGGCACCCTGTTGCTCAAACCGAGGTTAGAATAAGTCCCTGCTCCCTGTTGCAGGGACCAGGGTTAGAATAGGTCCCCAGTACCCTGTTGCAGGGACCAGGGTTAGAATAGGTCCCCAGTACCCCGTTGTTGGAACCGAGGTTAGAATAGGTCCTCAGCATCCTCTTGCAGGGACCAGTGTTAGAATAAGTCCCTGCTCCCTGTTGCTGGGACCAGGGTTAGAATAGGTCCCCAGTTCCCCGTTGTTGGAACCGAGGTTAGAATAGGTCCTCAGCATCCTCTTGCAGGGACCAGTGTTAGAATAAGTCCCTGCTCCCTGTTGCAGGGACCAGGGTTAGAATAAGTCCCCAGTACCCTGTTGCAGGGACCAGGTTTAGAATAGGTCCCCAGTACCCCGTTGTTGGAACCGAGGTTAGAATAGGTCCTCAGCATCCTCTTGCAGGGACCAGTGTTAGAATAAGTCCCTGCTCCCTGTTTCTGGGACCAGGGTTAGAATAGGTCCCCAGTTCCCCGTTGTTGGAACCGAGGTTAGAATAGGTCCTCAGCAGTATAATAATAATGAGATAATAAAAGAATTCATATAAAGCTCAAATGTTCACGCAACAAAGCATGCTCAAAGTACTGACAACTCACATACATATGTAAATTAGTGTTAAGTGGTGGAGTTGTTAAAGAAAAATGTTGAAGTCTTGACTTGAGCAATATCAAGTGATGGGGGCTGTTCTGAGGGAAGAACATTTCATATCTGTGTAGCAGTTACTTCTAAAGTTTGAGCACTAAAGAATTTAAGTTTCCATGT